TCACTGAGGAGAGGAGAGAATATGGAGTGTAGAATGACGCAGGGTGGTGAAAGCCGAAAAGAAGCCACCAAGCCGAGAAACCTCCTGTCGACCAGAAAAACCACCAGACTTGGCACCTGGAATGTTCGTACAATGTACGAGGCAGGGAAGACACTGCAGGTTGCAAGAGAGATGGAGGGCTACCAACTTGCTTCAGGGGAAACAGTTCTCTACTCTGGACATCTGGAGGAAAACTCGCCAGCATACAGAAGGAGTAGGTATTCTGTTATCAACACACGCCAAGCGGGCTTTGATAGGATGGAAAGCAGAGCACTAATATCAGCTGAATTCCGTTCAAAGAAGAAAGACATCAACCTTCATGTTATCCAGGGATATGCCCCCACCAATGATAAGGACCACGATGTGAAAGAGACCTTCTACAAAATGCTACAAATTACTATTGAACAGGTTAGAAGGAAGGACATCTTGATTTTAATGGGAGACTTCAACGCTAAGGTAGGCAGTGACAATGTAGGATTTGAGGAAATCATGGGGAAACACGGACTTGGAGTCAGAAAACGAGAATGGAGAACTATTTGCAGAAATATGTGCAACGAATAGGCTCATGATAGGAGGGACTGTTTTCCCACATAAACAGATACACAAATCAACATGGGTGTCGCCAGACCAACAAACTGAAAACCAGATTGACCACATACGTGTCTACAAGAAATTCAGGAGATCAATGAGGGATGTTAGAGTTTACAGGGGTGCAGACATAGCTTCGGACCAAAATCTGCTCATTTCAACAATCCGACTAAAACTAAAGCGAAGACAGAGAATTGTCAATAATCATAGGTACCGGTACAACGTGGACTTTCTGAGAGAGCCATCGTCAAGAGAGGAGTTTAATGTAGCAGTTAAGAACAGGTTCCAAGTGTTGGAAACATTAGGCGAGGATAGCAGCGTGGAAGAAACATGGCAGGCAATAAAAGAAGGCTGGACCACGGTGTGTCAAGAGGTACTGGGGAAACGGAAACGTGAGCACAAGCCTTGGATATCGGCCACCACTCTGAGGAAGATAGAAGACAAGAAAAAGAAAAAGGATCAGGTAAACAGGAGCAAGCCAAAGCCAAGATCCAAGAAGAATACACCAAAGCAATGAAGTCGGCGTATGGAAAGACAAAAGAAACTATGTAGATGACCTAGCGCGCGCGGCAAAGGAAGCAGCAGGGGCAGGAAACATGACAGGACTGTATGAAACCACCATAAAAACTTGCAGGCAGATACAAGAACACAGATGTGCCAGGGAAGGATAAAGAGAGAAAGCTTCTCACAAATCCAGACGAACAGAAAGAACGCTGGAAGGAGCATTTCAAAGAGCTACTGAACAGACCAGGGCCAGAAAAACAGTTTGACATTCCACCAGCAGAGATTGATCTGGGGGTGAGTGAAGAAAAGCCTAGTTTAGGGGAGATCAATGAGGCGATAAGACACAAGAAAGCAGGCAAGGCAGGCGGCCCAGATGGAATTCCCCCAGAAGTTCTCAAGGCATATATCGACACTGCGGCAGGTATTCTTCATGGAATTATTGGCAAGGTATGGGACAGCGAAGAATTTCCACAGGATTGGAGAGAGGGATTGCTCGGGAAACTACCCAAGAAAGGAAACCTGCATGAGTGTAAAAACTACAGAGGAATCATGCTCCTGTCCATTCCTGGGAAGATTTTAAGTCGTACCATACTGGAAAGACAGAAGAAAGCCGTGGATGTAAAACTACGAGAGGAGCAGGCAAGATCATATTATACAGATCAGATTGCAACTTTGAGGAGAATAGTGGAGCAGTCCACAAAGTGGAACTCTTCCCTGTACTTTAACTTTGTCGACTACGAGAAAGCTTTTGACAGCCTAGATAGGGACTCAATATGGAAGTTCATGCGCCACTACGGAATACCTGACAAGTTCGTGAGATTGATCAAGAAAATGTATGAGGGAATGAGTTGCACTGTCCTACTTGGAGAGCAGCAGACAGACTCGTTTGAAATGAATACAAGGGTGAGACATGGATGCCTGCTATCGCTTTTTCTCTTTTTATTAGCAGTGGATTGAATAATTCGACAGACAACATCGGGACAACGCGGTGGCATACAGTGGACCCTTTCCAGTCAGTTGGAAGACTTGGACTTTGCGACGACTTGGCACTTCTTTCTCACAGTCGAGCCCAGATGCAACAGAAAACAGATCGCCTCAGGACCTTCTCCCATAGTGTTGGACTCCATATTCACACGGTTAAAACGAAAGTTCTACGAATGAATCACACTGCAAGGGGCACCATTGGCGGATGTTGAATCTTCCACCTACCTGGGAAGTGTCATTAACAAGGCAGGGGGAACAGACGAAGACATCAGGGGCAGAATCCAAAAGCCAAGAGCAGCATTCATCATTCTCAGAAATATATGGATGTCTAAGGAACTGATATTGAATACCAAGCTGAGGATCTTCAAAACAAATATGAAGACTGTTCTACTGTATGGTTCAGAGACATGGAGGCTCTCAGCATCAACAGCAAGGAAACTGCAGAGCTTCGTAAATGGATGCCTACGAAGGATAGTGGTGATAAAGTGGTACGATCGAGTCACTAATGCTCAACTGTGGGAAAGAACAAGCCAAAGGCCAGTAAAGGAAGACATACAGGTGAAAAAATAGAAATGGGTTGAACACACCCTTAGGAGACCCCCGACAAGCACCATCAGGCAGGCTTTAACGTGGAACCCACAAGGAAAACGTAAAAAGGGAAGACCAAAGATGACATGAAGGCGAGCGGAAATTGAAAAAGCGGGGACATCATGGAAACAGATAGAAAAGGATGCTCGGGACAGGCTTCGCTGGAGTAATGCTGTTGATGGCTTGAGCTCCACTGGGAGTTAAAAAGGGCAAGAGAGAAGAGATGCAATCCCCTTTAAAGATCTTACCCGTAAACTTCAGAATAAGAGAAAAAAAACGAACCTGCGAAGGACGAAGCGAACGAAGCGGAAGTCATCATCAGCATATCCAACAAACACATGAATACCGTAATCCTCCATTTTTGTCTTCCTGAAAGACACATAAAGAGAGATAACTCGTTATTACTGCACGTACTTGTCAAATGTTTTTCCTGAAGGTTAATGATGAGTCTATTAGGTGGCGGGGGGTGGGGGGGGTGGTAGTTTAGAAACATTACCTTTCTAGTGGAAATGTATGTGTTGTTTTCGTCAAGGTTTCTGCTGGCATGCTTGAAGTGTGACGTGGAGAATTTCGTCAGGTTTTTCACGACATTGGTCTTCATTCTCTTCCTGCTCCTTCTTCTCTTCCTCCTCCCTCTCCTTCCCCTCCTCTTCTTCCTCTTCCTCTCCTCCTCTTCCTCGTCATCTCCTCTTCCTCCTCCTCCCTCTCCTCGCTTTTCTCCTTCTCCTACTCTTCCTCCTCCTTCTCTTCCTCACCTTTCTCCTTTTCCTACTCCCTCTCCTCATCCTTCTACATCTCCTCTTCTTTTCCTCCTTATCCTCCTCTTCTTCCTTCTCCTCCTCCTTCTCCTCCCCTTCCTCCTCCTCCACACCACGACAGTTGTAAGAGAGAGGGACAGGAGAAGGAGGGAGAGGAGAAGGAGGAAGACACAGTCACTACTTGCTACTCCTGGTTACGCCACTGGCTAAGTTGTTGTTTACAGACTGGGGAACCAACTGTACCTACCACGGTACAATGATTGTTGCTGAAGTTACACTAACAAACAATTTAGTTATTTACTTATTCCTTCGTCTACATGTCCGTTAAGGCACCAAGGATGATCGGGCAACCACTTGTCTCCATCCTTCTCTATTTTCAGCCTTTCGAAGGGCTTCCCCCAACTTTGAACCTATCCATTCGTTATGTTATCTTACTATTTCATTTTCTATTTGCCTTTCTTTCTACTTCCTTGTGTAGTGCCCTGTAGGATCATCTTCACAAGTCCTGTTGATCTTGTTAGGTGTCTTTACAATCTACCTTTTTTTTTTTCCTTTTTTCATGGATACCTCGTTATAATGGTTTATCCAGATTAAGGATGTGTTGAACACATTTCACTACTTAAATTAAGAATTATAAGGTTTTATCTGACATTTTTTACTGTTTTGAGTTACTAAGACCAAGAGATCAGAGACCAAAATTATGTTTTATCTGCTCTAGAACTTTATGAAAATCGTAAAGGACAAGAAGTTCAAAGAATTGCATACGGAAAAGCTTGACATTTGTGAACCTCAAAAATATTGACTTCAAATTTCTCAAAACTAGGCACTGAGCAGATAGAGCGTTGTAGTTCTGGAGTAGTCTTGTCAATCCCGGACGTGTTTGAGTTCTCCGTCCTCGGCTGTACTTTCAGAGAAAAATAACAACAACAACAACAACAACAACAACCAACAATCAAAAAGGGAAAGCAAAGCACCGCTAAGCTAAGCATGTTATAGTCAACTACAGATGGGTTGATGTCGTTGGGGAAGTGAAAAGAACATCAACTCATCTGAAGTTCAACTTAACCGTTGGGACATGGAAAGCTACGTTAAACTTAACCGTTGGGACATGGAAAGCTACGTTAAACTTGATCGTTAGGACATAGAAAGCTAAGTTCAACTTGATCGTTGGGACATGGAAAGCTACGTTAAACTTGATCGTTAGGACATAGAAAGCTAAGTTCAACTTGATCGTTGGGACATGGAAAGAAGAAGAGGTGCTCGGCAAGAGAAAAAGATATCAACTCAAGAGAGGTCAACACAAGCGGGGTTCACTGTATCACCTGAAACCAGGAGCCAGGATGTTGAGAAAGAACGCCCGCACCGCAGTCCTGAACCGCCGCCACATGTAGACGACCAGAAAACCCACGATAAGGCTTAAGGCCAGGCTGAGAGAGACGAGGAGAGCCGTTTTCCCGACACAGCGACGCCACAACGCCTTGGTCGTGACCAGGTCAGCGGTCCACCGGTCCTGCCCTCTGTCGTCGATGCACGAGTAGTTCCCGGACATGTCCAGCCTCACCCACGTCGTGTGGAGCCAGACTGAGGGAAAAACAAGCAAGACTAGGACAGATCGATAAACAAACAAAAATAGATCTATCAACGGTTGAAAATAGATTGAATGTAGGTGTTTTTACGTCTTCATCGACACAATATAGACGTGTGCAGACAGACTGATGGACAAGGACAAGTCCACAGACATACATAAATCCATCAACGGTTGAAAATAGATTAGATGTAGGTAGGTTTACGCCCCCCCCCCCCCTTTCCATCAACACAGTTTATATGAGTGGAGCCAGGCTGAGAGACAGACAAGGACAGATTAACAAACATACGAAAATAGATTGATCATTGTACGCCCCCATTGACACAATTTAGACGAGTGAAGCCAGACTGCTTTGTTTGTTTGTTGTTGTTGTTTTTTTGTAAGTGTTTTTCGGCACTTACAAATCTGTAAGGTCAAAATATGAGCGCACGTGACACATTAAAACATTTTAATTTGGTTGGAAGGAGGAGGGCTCAAAGGGGAGGGGGAGGGGACAGAGAGTGAAGACAAAACAGGACGACAGAATATGGTTAGAGAGCAGGAAAGGAGGTGAAAGGAGAACATTTTAGAGAAAAAAAAAAGTTATGTTGCTGTCAGGTTTCGAACCCGGGACCTATTGAATGAGAGGCTAACAACTAAGCTCTAGACCACGAGATCCACCAAGCCAGACTGCGAAACGAGGACAGGTCGACAAACATACAAATACAGAATAAACTAGATTGATCAACTGTGATTGAATACTGTAATTGTTCTAACCCCCCCCCCCTATCTTCACAAATTAAACAGACGGTGAAGTTATACTAATATTCAAGATCATGCGGACAAACTAACGACGATCGGTACCGCCAATTGTCTGGTCAACCAATTGTTGTTGTTGTTTTTGTTGTTGTTATTGTTGTTGACGTTGTTGTTGCTGTTGTTGTAGTTGTTGTGGTTGTTATTGCTGTTGCTGTTGAATTGTTGATACCCCACAAGAATGCCAGGCTAATATTATGAAGAAGGCAGCTCTCTACTCACCCAGAAATGGAACCCGTGAACACATACAATATATCGGATTGCCATCCAGCAGGAGAGAAAAGTCGGGTTTGCTTTGAGCGTGTGTGTCTAACGCCGTCCTAGAGGCGATGTCTAAGGAAGAGATTGCGTTTTTGCGCAGGTCCAAGACACTCAGGCTTGGTGTAGTTGAAAGGTCAAACCCTAACGATGTCAACCGATTACTCGACAAAAGTATTGAATTCATTCTCAAGCTGGAAGAAAAAACAGATCTTGGTAATTTATGGAGGTGGTTGTCACGTAGGTCGATGTGTTGGAGTTTTGGCGTTTTCTGCAGCCAACTCTCTTTCAAAAGTTGATCAATAAAATCTCTCTCCCTCATGGCATTTAGTAGAAGAGTCTCCAAATTCGGGAAACTTTGAAGAGGTACAAAGTTTGGACGGCTCGTCACGTGAGATCGTGTGAAGTCCAGCAAGGTGACATTTTCCAACCCTGTCACTGGGCCACACCATTCAACCAAGTGACTGCTGACAATGCGAATTTCTTTTACATTGTGAGCGTCTCTCGCGTGGCAAGCTGGAATGCCTAAATACCCGTGCATACCAACAATAACCAAAGCCCGAAAATGTTTAGGGCATTGAAAAGAAAGACCTCCTTCGAGTGTCACCCCCTTACTTTCTCTAGGAATTCTTATACTTGGCGTTTCATACAATGATCTGTTCTCACTGGATATAGTAAGTATTTCTCTTTCATTTCCATTATTTCGATTATTGTAAAATCGAAACGCATGTGTTTGGGCCAGAGGTTTAGATTTGAGATCAAAGATGTTACTTGTTTTGTTTACAGATGTTCTGACATTCTGAACATTCCTGAACTTGAAATCGTACCCCGGGTCACAAAATTCGTAAGAACTCCACAGCAGCTCCTCTATCGATTCGAATCTTACCGTTTCCAAAATTACACTTCGCCACTGATCCATTTCTCCTACCAAATTCCTGGTAAATTGCAAACTCTTCAGACACCTTCTCAGATTTGCTTTTGCGCTTAGTGCCATGGGCTCTATACCAACCACTTTGGATTGATCCCAAATCAGCTGGGAAAGACATATGTTGGAGAGGTGTTTAAGCGATTCTTTTGTCAACAATCCGTCATGAAAGACGGCCTTTGGAGAGCCATGATGGTGGAGCAAGTGCACTTTATAGAGGGCAATTAAAACCATTCTTTTATTTTCAAAAGGCCATAGACATTTCATGATATTTTGGTTTCCGGTAGCGACATCATGGATTCGAAGAATGTGTAGATTTTGAACATTGGCAAAAATTCCAGTTTCAAAATGCCCTGCGTTGTGTGGGGTCTCTAACACTAATTCTCTCAGAGTCACATCTCTGAGACCTTCAAAACTGCGGTTCGACCCTTTGACAAAGTCATGCGGACAATGTACATACAGGTACGTCAAATTCTTCAGTTTGGAAAACGGTTGGCCGAAGTATATTTCTAGGTCTCCGTCAATTGACAACCTTGTCAGATGCGATAGGTCAGAGAATGGGACAGCAGAACTGGAAGGAGATTCCCGAGTGCCTTCATTTTCCCATGCGTTCCCCTTCAGGTACAAGTTCTCCAAATTAGGAACGTAAGAAAATATGGTCCTGGAGAGACGTCTTGTATAGATATTGTTATTCTCCAGGTTTAATTCCTTCAGCATTCCAAGGCCCCTCAATGCATCCTCCTGAAATAATGTGAGAAAAATATACCTGTGTAAACAGTTTCTGGACGTGTCAACGGTCAGAGCAGTTATAAGGTTATGGGAAACTGTAAGACAAGGAAAGGAAGCAACATTGAAAATACTGCAAGCCGCTGCAAATGTTAAACTGGAGGCCACAGAGTAATAAGCTGAGAATCACCCTACAAAAATTCAAATAGAAAGGAAAGGAACGGGAATGCATAGAAAAACAAGCTCTTCATTCTAAAAAAAAAACAGCTATCAGAAACGACATGAGAGAATTGTACCAGATCACCAAAAGACTGGCTGGAGACTTTGGAAACTCATCTGAGGGACTAGTAGAAAAGAAAGATGGCTCCATGGCAACAACATTAGAAGGTAGGAAAGATCTATGAGCAGAACATTTTAGGAGATTAAAAATAGACCGTCTCACTGCAGCTATTGGAGAGGATTATTAGTGACAGGAAAACAATGTTGCACAATTGTTTTGTCCCGTATTATAGTACTATTTTATCCGGTTTGACAGCCGAAAAACTATCAAAGTTACAAGTACTCTATGAAATGAAGCAGCAATTTTGATAATGAAACAAAATAAATCAGCACACGTAACACCAATTCTGGAAAAACTACACTGGTTGCAAGTAAGAGAAAGGATCAAAATACAAAACTGCCGTTTTCTGTTTTAAATGTATAAATGATACTGCACCTTTTTATCTTAAAATTTCCTGGAATCATATTATCACCCAGAAAGAGCCCTTAGATCAGCCTCTAACAATCTAATTTTTTTTTAAACTCTTAAAGGGGGGGGGGGGCTACACCCCCAAAATCAAAATTCGGCTCAAAATCATGGAATTTGAGTTGTAGCCATTTTTAGCTTCCTCAGCCTCTCCTACAACTATTTCATGGCATAAGAACCCCCCAAAAATTGTATTTATTCCCATACCGGGCATGTTTGTAACCACCATTTCTTCTTAAAGTCAGTATTTTATTTTTCTTTATTGGCCGTTTTCTCAAAATGCTACTTTTGTCTATACTTTTTTGAATAACTCCACCATTATTCATTCAATCTTCATGAAATTTTCACAGAATGAAGAAAAGAGGTAATGCTAAAAATTTGTCTGTTGATTTTTGATATATGGAATAGATTTTTGTTGGTGGTGTCTGGAGTGTGGATTTTCACGGATTTTTCGCAAAATTGAATGCTACCTCAGAAAAAAATTCATTAAAAATTTTGTAATTCGTTTAGGAAAAAAACAACAGACAAAATTTTAGATCTAATGTTTGTAAACACGCATGCAAAAAAAAACAATCAATTTCCATGAGTGATAAGTGCGGTATTCATTACGTAAGACATGTCAATAAAATCCAATATGGCGGCGTATCCATGGAAACGAAACTTTTTTCTCAAATTTGATTGCGGATTTCAAGACTCCTTACTATGCTTTTTATATGTGTGAAATGTGGTAAAATTCGGTCCAGTAATAAGCGAGATAGCCTCCAGGTGTAGCCCCCCCCCCCCCCCCCCCCCTTAAGCAAAATTACAAAACATACGGTGAGCGTTCCTGTGTGTTCTTGGTCCCCATGTGTGGAACCAACTACCTTATAAAATAAGATGTTTACATTTTCAAAAAACAGCTGAAGCACATTTTATGCACAAATACATATCTGCCATAATGATGACCTTTTTTAGATGCATGTGTATGCCAGGCTGCGAGACTGAAGAAAAAGCGTGTGAAAATGAGAGGAATATATATATACATATATATATATATATATGTGTGTGTGTATATATATTTATGTATATATATATATATATATAGAGAGAGAGAGAGAGAGAGAGAGAGAGAGAGAGAGAGAGAAAGAGAGAGTGTGTGAGAGAGAGAGAGAGAGAGAGAGAGAGAGAGAGAGAGAGAGAGAGAAGAAGAAGAAGAGAGAGAAAGAGAGAGAAAGAGAAAGAGAGAAGGAGAACGGAATTATTTTTCTATTTATAGAGAACGAATGTTTTAATGAATGTTTCTAATTATTCAATTTTCAATTTTATTGTGACCGTTCGTGAATGTTATTGCATTGTATATTTTGAACGTATTGCCAAGCTCACTGCGACACTGTTTTTCTCACAACGATTTTTATACATACTTACTTTTACTTTTTACTTTTCCATCCTCTGTTGCCGTTAAGCGTCGAGGGGAGATGCAGTTTTCTATGGTAGGCCAGCTCCGCAGCTCTTTCAGTTGTGATGTTATGTTTTCTTAGGGTTTCCTTGACACCCTCGATCCACCTTTTGCGTGGCCTTCCTCTTCCTTTATAGCCTGAGTGCTTGGTGTTGTAGGCTCTCGAGGCTGGCTGGTCAGGTGACATGCATAACAGGTGGCCAAACCATTTTATCCTCTGTCTTTCTATGCAACGCAGGCGGGACTCAGTGCCGATAGCTGCTCTTACTTCTTCATTTCTCTGCCTGTCTCGTCTTGTGATGTTAAGGGTTTTGCAGAGACATTTCATTTCGCATGCGGTGATTTTGCTTTCATGGGTTTTGCTAAAGGTCCAGGTCTGGCACTGATAACATAATGTTGGTATAAATATTGAGGTGATGAGCTGCCTCTTTGTGTCCATGGAGATATTTGGATGAGATAGGAGGGATGCGAGCTGGTAGGTGACAGCGTTGGCATTTTGAGTTTGCATTTCTCTTTCTCTGTCTATGGACCCGTTTTCAGAAAAAGTGCTGCCAAGATATTTAAACTTCTTTATCTGTTTCAGCTGTTTATTATTGACATGGATGTTCAGGGGACTATGGTTTAGGCTCATTTTCATAACTTCTGTTTTTGATGTGCTTATTTTCATGTTGAATTTTTCACATGTATTGTTTAGTTCGATAGTGTGATTTTGGAGGCTTTGTTGGCATTGATGAATTAGACATTGGTCGTGTGCGAACAGAAATTCATTTAGGCTTTCTGGGCTTTGGTTTGCTTCTTGCGTTATAGTGTCCATATATATTATAAACAGGAGGGGAGATAGAACGCATCCCTGTCGTACTCCAGATCTTACTTTGAACCAGTCTGTATTTCCTTCCTTCGTTCTTACTGAGCTTCTGCTGTTGGTATATAGAGCTCTGACATTATCTAACAATTGTCCTCTGACGCCATAATTTTCGAGTGTCTTCCAGAGTTTTGCATGGTTTACTCTGTCAAAAGCCTTCTCCTGGTCTATAAAGACGATGTTGGATTCTCTGTTGTGTTCGATTGTTTTCTGGCATATCTGCCGTAATGCGAATACGGCATCCGTGCACCCTCTTCCCTTTCAGAATCCAAACTGATCTTTGCTCAGATTTCTCTCTACAATAGGTCTTATGCGCTGCTCTAGTATCTTTGCATATATTTTTCCTGAGTGGCTTAACAGTGAGATGCCTCTATATGTTGTGCAGTCGCGTTTGTTGCCCTTTTTTCCATAATGGTACCACTATGGCTTTCTGCCAGTCTTCTGGGCATTTTCTTTGTTCCCAGGCTCTGTTGAAAGTACGCCTCAGCCACAGTATACCGGTGTTTCCACAAGCTCTTATGGCTTCCGCTGTGATGTCATCTGGTCCTGGGGCTTTGTTCTTGGGGCTTTTCTATTTTACTGTGGAGTATTGGTGGTTCTGTTTGATCTCCATATGATGGTTGGGACTCTACTTGTTGTCTGTGGCAAGCGTCTTGGTTGAGCAGTTCTTGGAAGTAATTTTCCCATCTTTTCTTAATTGCATGTTTGCCGAGAATGGCGTTTCCCTCTATATCACTTATAATGCATGTCGGGTTGTATGGGTCTTTCCTTTTCCGCATGCTCTTCACACTTTTATAAAATTCTCTTGGGTTTTCCTTGCAGATGTTGGTCAGTTTCTCGCCATGTATTTTCCATGCATTTTATTTAGCATTTTTTAAATGATTCTTTTGGTCTCTCTTCTCGCTTTCCTGTTTTCTATATTCTTCTTCGGTCTTTGACTTCTGCCATTTCTTGAATTTTTTCTTTTTCATTCTAATTGCTTCTTTGGTCTCATCATTCCACCAGCATGTTGTTCTGTCTTTGTTTACACTTATTCGTTGGATGCATCAACAGTTTTTTAGTATTTCTGACAGGGATTTTTTAAATATTTGTCATTCGTCTTCTATGTCTTTGATCTCAGGTGACAGTTTAAAGTACTCCTCGGTAATGTCATCCTCGACTGCTTTCTCGATGTCTGGTTCTTCCAATTTTCTTAGGTTAGTCAGTCGTGGTTCTCCCCTGTTCTTCTTTGTTTGCTTTACGTTGTTGGTTGTGAGAGTAAGTATCACAGGTCTGTAATCCGTGTAGATTTGTAGTTTGGAACCGCTCTCGAATCTTTGGCTGCATGTCTTTGTTTTCTGCACATCAGGGTGAAATCAATTTGTGATGCATGGTTCAGGTCACTCCATTTGTACCAGGTCTTGATTTGGCTTTGTCTATTTTAGAAAAATGTGTTCGTAATCATCATGTCGTGCTCAGCGCATAGGTTTAGTATCATTTCTCCATTGCTGTTGCAGTCTGTATCTTTATCGCTGTGGGGTCCCAAGTATTCTTTCCAAGGGGTTCTTCTTGGTCCAACTCTGCCATTTAAATCTCCCAAGATAAACATATCTTCTTTGTTCTTGATGGTGTTAACATGGTCCCTCAGGTCTTGGAAATATGATTATCTTCCTCTGTATAGCTGTCGTTACAGGGAGCGTATGTTTGGATGTACGTTGTTGTTTTGCCA